ACGCCATCAATCGGGAAGCAAGGACACACAGCCACAGGAAAAATACCACTTACTAGGTCACTCCGCATCCAAATTTGATGGAGGGGGGCAGGCACATAAGTCATTCCAATGCCTCTCACAGAGCTCCTTTAAAAATGAAGCGTTTAAAACATTCATCAGGAGTCTCAGTGCTAAGGGGTCTGTTTTTGTAAGATGTTATAAGTGTGTAGTATGTGTGTATCATAAATGTGTTTTAGGCGCCATAAATGCTAGCATGAATATATACTCCTTGCTAGCTTGGGAGCTGTGGTGGGTTGAGCTAACCCTCTTCCCCACTGTTTGTATTTGGTCTAGGAGTTGGAGTGGGCAAATTATTTACTTGGAGGTCTTTCTTTCTTTTACCTTTTTTATCAGGTATGTCGGATTTCATGTTGTTGTTTTTGTTTTATCTTATGTCAAATATGTTACGTGTAAATGCATATTTTATGTTTAATGTAAAAATAAATGCCAGCCCTTTTCCTACAATTCCCCTGTGGGAGAGGAGCTGGAGTGGGCAAATTATTTACTTGGAGGTCTTTCTTTCTTTTACCTTTTTTATCAGACACAAGGCAGAATCACACCGGTTACATATGCATAGCATGCAAACGGCTACAAACTGCTGCAACCCACATAATTTCCTTAGGGATTAATAAAGTATTCTGATTCTGATTGTTTCAGGATGACCTGCCATTATCCAATGACACATCTGCTTACCTGTATCTTTTGCTCGTTTCTCCTCCTTTTCTCTTTTTTCGAAACTGAGCACCTGATGGCTTTGAACTTTCCTTGTCCATCTTCCATTGCTTTTAATTAACATTGCACTCCAGTATGAACACCCACCCCCCAACCCGAGGATAACCACAAAATATCCCGATAGACCTACACCTTAGTTCACAGATTCGCTTTGTCTAGGGTTTATTTCTGAGATTTCGCACAACCCAGGATTCAAATCATGAATCCATAATGAGCTTGGATTTACAACATTATGAATGAAATGTGCTCTATTTGGAAGCAGCCGGCCCCCTCCCCTTTCGACGGGTTGTGTGTGAGACTTTAAATCATCAAACTGTAAATTATAAATTTTAAATTGTTATTGATCCATTTACCTCTAGTCCTAAAGTGTATATTTATTTTCTTACTTATATTTATTGTTTGTTTACTTGCACTGCTGTAACTGGAGCCTCGCCGTCTCGTCTCTATATACTGGACTGTAAGTAGGAGAGATGACAATAAAGGTTACTTTGACTTCAGCAGCGAGCAGGCGCACCGAGGGCTCTCGCGCTCACTTTTCGTGTATAGAATTTCGAAAAAACATCGGTGCAAATTATAAGTCTGTATCATAATGTCTGGTGTTTTCGTGTTTCTTGGTTTGTTTTAATTTTGTTTTATTTTGCGAGTTGGTTATTAGATGTTGCTCCAGCCAGCCAGAGAATCCCCAGCCACCCCGCCCTCTTCTCCCTGTGCAGCAAGCAGCAGGCGCACCCTTCAAATGGAGGGCGCCCTTACTCCCAGAAAACCGATCGGTGCCTACGACATTCCCAGTATGCGCTGGCATGACGTCGGGGCAGCATGAGTACGAGCAATTTTTTATTTTTTTATTTTTTGGCGATACTCGATGCCGCCCCGGGCAACCGCCCGTGTCGCCCGTATCAAAAACCCCTACTGCCTTTTGGCAGTCTTCGCCTGTCGGCCTCGCAGTCCGCTATTAAATGGCCAGATTTAAAACAGTAAAAACGTTTCCGGTCTGACCTGGGACGAGGCACAAGTACCTCTCCCCTTGTGTCTTGCTCAACAGTAGCACCGCTAGCCTTCGCTAGGGTGTCGCGTCGCTCAACGATACTTAACGATACTAGCTTTATGGACGAGTGCAAACTCGTCAGCCAGTGTCGCGGTCTGCTGCAACATGGAGACTTTTTGTTCATTCAGATATACTGCCATTCACTCAGAGATGCAGTTTTTAAATTCCTCAATCAGCATTAACTCCCTTACTGAAACTAGGTCTGCAGCTTTACAGGCCATACACCATCGGTCAAAGAAGACACTCTTTTCCCTCTTTTCCAGGAAGGATTGACCCTGCACCTTTTTCAACCCTATTTTTGCCTACATCAAACTGTACCTCTGTCTGTGACAGCGAGGCCGCCACGGGAGGGAAGGAGGCTTGCTGGAGTTCCAGCTGTCGCAGCTTGACCTTCGTCTCCGCCTCCACTTCCACTTTCTTCAGCTCGACCTCCCTAGCCCTTACCAGCTCCGCCTCCAAACGCCTAAGCTCTAACTCCTTTTTCAGCTGGAACTCTCTCTCACGCTCCTTCTTTTCCAGCTGGAGATGAGCCAGATGGACTCTGAGCCTAGCATCCTGCTTAGAACCCTCCGATGACCCGGTGGAGAGCGGATCAAAATGGGGCAGCGTCATTGGCCCGCCCTCGGGCAGCCCCTGGCCCACAGGTGAAGACACTGGCTGTTCTACGACCTGGCTTGGAACATGAGGCGCTACACTTGGTCCAGCCAGACCGGGTGTGCTCGGGGGTTCTTGCATCTCAACCACCCCCTTCTCCAACAGCCCAGACACCAGAGCGGCCTTCAGCTCCACTTTACGCAGACCAGTGGAGACACTGATACCGTAAAATGTTGCCACCTCATGCAGATCCAGCAGGGCAAGCGATGGCTTTGCCGTAAACCCAGCAATATCAAAAGTGGCCATGAAGCTAGCAGCAAACAAAACGCCCCGCAACACACAAGCTAACCACTCAAGGGACACCGACAGCAACCAATACACAACACCTTCACTG